TTTTGCTTTGCTCCAGTTCACCTGCAGGAACGCCTGAAAACTGAAGGTTGAGAAGCTGCATGAAATTTTCCAGATTTCACCCATGTGTAACGTAAACAGGGGTTCCTTTCTCTTGGAAAGCTTTACATTCCTCTAAGGTAGATAGCCTTAGAGTGTTTCGTCATAATTAAATAACTCAATCTAAACCAATAACCCGGTAAGGTCAGTTGTTGATTATCAAACATTCAAATATCATATTTAAAACTAGCAGTATAAGAACTGCTTAAGTAAACAACAATCCTAACTAAATACACTGGTCTTCAAAATTAAGGGATAATGAGAAAAATATTCTCACTAAGTTAATGTTGCAACCAGTGCCCAGTGCTATAATAATTCATGGTAGTTTAATACAATTGAATACAAAATTGTACTTCCGTGCATACGTTAGCGCCGGGAAAAGGCAAATTCGGTGACTGGTGCGCAATGCACGCATGTTGGAATTCCGGTCTGTAGTGTTGCTTAAAGTGAATATGGTTCCCGAGAGTGATCAGTATTCTGCAGTTATACAGTGGGAAAAAAAATATCGGCAATGCCCTATAATTGATTATATTATCTAACAAAGAAATGCTTGACAATTTTAGCTAGACATAACGAACACAGGAGGTAATTAACACACAAATCTACCGAAAATTTCATTTTAATATGCCTTTTACACAAAATATACAACAAAAACATAAATTTGCATGTAAAAAATATATTGGCAAAGTTCTAACCGCTATGCGAATTTTGTTACGTTGAGGTCATGTAATTAGACTGATAAGAAATCCTGTTAGCATAAAGTCTGCAGTGCTCTTTTAATACGTTATTTTGCTAATACTGTGATAAAATGACTTCGAAGTCGAAGGAGTTTATGTTAATGTTAAACATATGATTATTCGGCTCAGAAATGAGAGTTTAACTTATCATGTTATAGAAATACAAGTGACAAGTGACAGCAGGACAGGGCACCCGGACGACTTTCTACGACTACTCGGGTGTTACAGTGGCCCTGTTATAGAAATACATGCGACATGCGACGGAGGACGTGGCACCATCCCTCTACCAATACGGTTAATCGGCATAGCGCCACGTCCACCTTTATCCATTGCCTAGATACCTGATACATAAGAACATACGGTGGCTACAGATAGACTGTTCAGAAGATATATAAATATTCAGATGCCCAAATACATCTTACGTAGGAACATGGGGGGTGCATGAGATGTATAAGTGGACATTCATAAGGTGACACACATTGGGTGACGAACACATTTCTTCTGTTGCTCAACATTGTTGGTCCGAAAATCACACTTTCAATTTTTCTGCTGCCAAAATTATTCAAAAAACATCTTCCATTGGAGAATCGGGTTTTCTAGAGGCATTTCACATTAAAAAAATCTTTCTTTTCTAGTTAACGATCCTAATTCCAATCCGTCTTTGCCTTCGGCCTTTAAAGAAATTATGTTTTAGTTCTGGTTTCATCAACAGATGGCACCACTTGCTTATTTCTATCCAGGCTTTCTTATCTTATCTAGTCATTATTTCCTATCTTGCTCATTTTGCGGTTTTGCAGCTGAGGATGGTGGTTCGGTAAAAACCATCGAAACTAGTCCAGCGAAAATTTTGAAAATATAACGCTGATTTTTGTTGTTTGACTTCTGAATTAAATATGACTATATTACATAATGATGCGAGATGTTTGTTAAAACATACAGGGTTACATTTTACAACATAGGTTACGTATTGCAAGATGTTACAAGATATATGATACAAGGTGCAGAAGACACTAATATCGGCAGATACCAAGATCCAATATCCATGATACATGATGCAGAGCATCCTATTACATGCTACAGGATGATACGAGATTATATATGCAGATGCCAGGATACATGATACTGGATCCAAAATAAGTTACAGAACTAAGATTTTGCGAGATATATGATACTAGGTGCTGGATATACAAATTTATGCTAATGCCAGGATACTTGATACAAGGCGCATGATAAGTTGAATGAATAAGTTACATGATACAGGATGTACGAGATAATATATGCGGATTTCAGAATACATGATACAGGGTGTTGAATAGTTTGCATGATACAAGATGATACGAGATAAATGATATAAGGTACAGAAGATATAAATATATGCAGATACAGATAATGCTAATTCCACTGTACAGTTCAGTTAGTTAACATAATACAGATAATTGGCATAATACAGTTTCGTTAAATAATATATACATGCAATAGGACTATCAGTGTTGTACACACATTCAATATTATTCAAAGGTATTAGATACTGGTGAAAGTCACTAAATCGCTATTTGTCTATTGTGGCAGTCTGTGAGTTTGGCCAAGTTTGACACAGGTTCATATTTAGTTCTGCTAGTTTGCCCATTAGGAGCCCGATTTTTCTGACCAGGTGCCTTTGCTTTATTAAAAACTTACAGAAGGCTTGTCGATTTGTGGACGGGAAGTTGACGTGGAGCCCTTCTGTGAGGGGATAGGATATTAGGTAGTGCTCTGGAGAGCCAGTCTGTCCACAGGTGCATTGACTGGAATGGCTTCTGCCGAATCTGTTGAAATATTCTGGAAATGGTCCGTGACCCGTTATATAGCTGACCAGTTGCGTGTTAGCAATGTTCCTGGTGGTATCCACATAGCTGATGTGGTAATGAGCTCGTCTTCCAGTTTTGCTATTGTCCCATGTCTGCTGCCATAGCCCAATTGCCTTTAAACGCAGAGTCCTCTTCAAGAATGAGACAAGCCATGGGATGTCAATTTGTAAATCGGTCGGTCCTGTAGCTGCTTCTTTGGCGAGATGGTCTGCCAACTCATTACCGTGGTGACCGGCATGCGCTTTTATCCATTCCAATTTGGTACGGAGATATGGATTTTTCCGCAGGTCTTCTTGGACACCTTGTATTATGCCGGAAGGATGGTCTGGATTTTCTATTGCATACAGGAATGAGAGGCTGTCGGTTTTGATACTAGCGTTGCGGATGTTGTGGGATTGCAAGTAGCGAATTGCTTGCGCAATCGCCACTGTTTCTCCTTGAAATACAATATTATTTTGCCGCAGCTGTCCTTTCCATTGGTCTTTTACTGTACCTTATTGCATAACCACAAACGCACTTCCCACTTTTTCATCAATTTTCGAACCATCCGTGTAGATGGTGTGCTGTGCAGGATGGTGAGTCGTAGTGGGATTGATGGTAATATTTACTCCCGTGCCTTTTACCGCTGGATGAACACTGAACTGGCAGCTGTTGATTTCGTAATACTCCGGATGGTAATTGACTTCATCAAAGGAAACTGGTCGTTTCAGTTGCAATACGAATTGTCTTGCTGCCTCCTCTTCGACACGAATGTGTAGAGGAAGGAGGCCAGCTAGCACGTTAATGGCGTCTGAGGAGGTCGTACGTTAAGCTCTGGTAAATGTCCCAATACAAAGGCTCTTTGTATGGTATAAAGGTGCTTTACTTTCCTACCTTGCATTGAGTGAGCCCGAACAGCTTCCATTTATGACCATAGAATAGCCGCATCTGTTTTGCTATGGACATTATCCTGAGTTTGATGTCCTGGATATGTCATTATAGTCGAACGTTAGACCATCATCTTATAGTCGAACGTTAGACCCAGATACTTCAGCTGGTTAACTATCTGTATCCTCTGTCCATTGATCGTAATTGTGGGTCTTCTTACAAGAGATCCTCCCTTTTTTGGGATTAACAGAATCTTCGACTTGTGTTCTGCAATTTGCAGTTTTAAGTTATTGCATAGGACGTGGAATAGTTGACATACCTCGTTACAGTTGGTTTGTAACTCATCTCTAGTCCGACCTTTTACTATTAATGTCGCGTCATCAGCATATGCGTAAATCTGCGTGTGCGCTGGCCATGTTGCTGATAGAACTTCTTTAAAAGTCAAATTCCACAGATGTGGGACGGCACACGACCCCTGCGGACATCCTCTTGTCTGCTCCTGCTTATTGTCTGCCTGTCTGTTCCCGCGTTATGGATTGCCAGGAGTCTTCTATCCTATAGGTAGTTGCATATGATCTTATGCAGGTTGCTCGGGCATTGTGCCTTTCGCAGAGCCTGTTTCATAGCCGGTACCATAGTGTATCGAACGCATTCTTAAGATCAATGCTTATCATGGCTGTATGGTGGCCGCTATGACGGTTCTCTAGTATTGCTTCTCTGATATCATAAAGCGCATGGACCGTGGACGTGCCTGTCCTGAACCCATATTGCCTGGGGCTTAGGTTCTCCAGTACTTTACCTATTGCCGATAAGAGGCAAATGGGACGAAAGGATATGCCATCTGCTGGGTTTCGATTCCTCTTTAGAAATAGAATAACCTGCCCTATCTTGTAGGGCTTTGGTAATGTCTCGGTTGATAGAAGCTTCTTGAAATAGGTGACGAATAATGTCGGATGTGCTTTTATCGTAACTTTGGTGACTGCATAATCCATCCCATCTGGCCCAAGGGGTTTTCTTACGCGGCAGATTGGCAAGTACCTTTTGGAGCTCTTGTAGCGTGATCTCTGGGTCTGCCGGTGTGTCCAAGGAGGTCATATCTGTTCTGATATTTGCTTGTTGTGCCGTGTCTTGCTGTGCGTCGTCATGGCTGAAGACAGCATTTAGAACAGCTCTTAAAGTACCTGATGTGTATTCCTGATTTATGGTAAGTGTTGAAGGGATCTGCAACTGGGATGGTTTAAAGATTTTACCGGTGGCAATTTTATGATGTATGCCGTAAGTATCTTTTGTCTGTGTGCAGAACTCCCGCCAGGAAATTATTTTAGCTTGCATAATCATCTTCTTATACTGCGCTCGCTCCCTTTGGAAGATGGTTAAGGTGTTGGACTGGATCTCCAATCGTCTTTTATGTTTAAGTTTTCTTCGCAGGGCTCTACATTTGCGTTGCTGTATTCTGAGAGCACTCGACCACCAATTTATACCTTGTAATCTCTTAGGGCTTCTTTAATGGGAGATTCTGATTGCATACGGCTTGCATAGTTTCTTGTAGTTTTAATGAAAAATCTTCCAGTTCTGCTGCTGTGTGAGCTTGTTGGAGAGATGGTTCAAGGCGTGTTAGTTGCGTTTTTATTTTTCTCGAAAAGGTTTTTATTTTCCGGCCAGGAAGGTTGTAACGTCGGATTTTGGATACTCTGGTAGTTTCGGATAGGGAGAAGGTTATGAACTTATGATCGCTGAGGCTCTCGTCCTCTTCGACTTTCCAGTCCTGCAGGAGAGGTGCTGCGTGCAGAGTAGTCAGGGTAAGATCTGGCCATCCCTGCGCAAAAACCCTGTCAAAAGAGGGCGGTGCTTCTGCCGTATTTTGAACTATGAGATTGCTTGAGGAGAGAAAGTCCTCTAGTTCCCGACCTTTAGGATCTGTCGTATGATAACCCCAAGCTGTATTGTGTGAGTTGAAATCTCCCGCAAAGATCATATCAGGGATTCTGAATTGGTGCAGTATTCTTTGTATGAATCTGGTTGTCGGGCCGATTTCCGCCGTTGGTGGGGAATAATTTGACGCTAGGATGATGGAGAGGGAATGGACTTCTAGAAGAATTGCAACGTTGTCTTGGTCAAGCGAGATAATTGTTGGGGACCAGTCGGGGTTACAGCTGACTATGATTGCTCTAGGAGAATGGTCATGATCCGATTTTTGAAACACTGTCCATTGTAATGGAAATCCAGCTGATACTCCTTCTCTGGTATATGGCTCTTGGCAAAAGATGAAATCTATTTTGTTGTGTATTTCAAATTGGATCGTCTGGGCAACTGCCGCCCTAGCATGCTGCATATTTATTTGAAGGAATTTGATGGGTTCTTTTTTTGATTTTGTCTCGCTGTTGATCTGAATGCTCTATGTTGGCTGACGTTCGTAATTTCGTGATGTGATGCTACCATTAGTACTGGGTGATGATACCATTAGTACTGGGTGATGCTGAGGATATAGGCTGCTGCACGCTGGTACTCTGCACATTCTGTTGCATAGGCTGGATGACTGCAGTTGTGCATGGTACCATGACTGTAGTTTGCATCGCGGCAGTTGATGCATTCTGGTAATTCAGCCCTGCAGTCTCTAGTATTATATGCTCCGGCGCAGAAGGCACAGAAATCTTTCTTGCACGTGCACTTGTCCTGGGTGTGTCCGAGCTGCTGGCATTCGTAGCAGCGGCGTATGCCCAAGTATTCGGTGATTGTATGTGCATGCCGAATTTATTGATTAGAGCTTTCTCTTGTAACTCCTTTCTGAGTTGCACATCAGGTTTCTTCCCAGTGGGATTGATAATAAGGCTGGGCCTTTGGGTCTGTCTTACCACCTCTGAAAAGGATCGTAGGGGTAATTCCTGTGTGACTACTACTGGAGTTAGTGGAGTTGATGCGCTCAAGGTAAGTGGATTGCTTGGGGTTGTAGTCTGCATTGACTGTGGTGCGAGGTCTTCAGTACTTGTAGCTATTGTTGCTACCGAAGGTCCTTGAAGTGCTAGAGTTTGTATTGCCTCGAAGGCTGCTTGTATAAAATTCCTGTCGTTAAGCGTAATTAAGAAGTGTCCGCCTCTTACCCGTCTGCAATTGGTAATGCAAGCGCACTCTGAGAATAGAGAAGTAACTTTCTCTCTGTACGTCAAAGAGTCTGAAGAAAAGTAATGAAGTGATATACTTCAGTGAACGATCTTGTGCTGGTGTGATAGCAGTGTTGTTAGAATCAGTCCCTTGTGCTACTTGTCCGCCGTCAGAAGTGGACATATTGCATGAAGAGGATATTGAATAATTTGGAAACACAGCTATTGCTTGTGAATGGTAATCAACGTTGGAAAATTATTTGTAGAAGGCACAGGATATATCCCAATGAATCTCAATTCACGTGAGTTATTAGTGCTGGCACCGAGACATTTTAACCAGAAATATTGTGAGCATAAATTAATTTAAAATGTGCAGTAAAATGACAGAAAGTGCATTAAAACTTGTGTCAACAAGAAATTACAAGGGAAAAAAAGGTTATTATAAGCTTAAAAAAGTTAGTTAATTAATTAATTAAAGATTATGACTCAGTTAACCAGTCAGAATAAAAATTTGGGTAATGGTATAAAATGCAGAGATAACATGATCAGCTGATAAGTGCAAGAATTGCTTAAAATTATTTTGAAACCATAAACAATTGTCTAGAAACAGTAATTAATTACTTAGTTAAAATGTTAATCAATATTAATTTGACAAGGTAATAATAATTTCCCAAAAGGACATATTACAGCAAAATATGGAAACAATAGTACATAAATGCAAAACAAAAGTATTGAACATATAGCAAAAACCTGTGAAATACACTTTCTTACAAATTATGTAACGTTGCGGTGGGATCGACATACAGACAAAGGAACAAACTGCTTAGATGGGAGTTAGCATTGATACAGTTATAGAAGAAAGAACCACAGAATTTAATTTAATGAATAATTTGTTTACAATAAACTGTACGACAGATTCAAAATTAATGGTGTCTACTATAATTTAGCAAAAAGATTTTTGATCTAGGAAGATATTAAACATATGAACATTTGGCACACTCCCATAGGGTTACTATGAAGGGAACCAACATGACATAGTATATATACACTTATAATAGTACACTTCAAATACAATTAACTTATTAGAAAGTAATTAAAGCGTTAATAAAAAAGTTAAAGTAATACTGAACAGTATTAAATGCACAACTTGAGTTCTAATACTAAATTATTGTGAACGCAATGGTGATACAGAACAGGACATTATAAGACATAGCAGTTGCGATCTATTAACAATATTTGTTATAGAAATACAACTGAACATAGTTTAATTACTGTCAGAAGTGTTGTAGGAAGTTCAATGAGACAGGATTGATGGAAAATAAGATTAGAAGTGGACGGCCTCGAATATTTTCTGTAAGGGAAAAATGTGGCATTATCAAACAGGTTAAGAAAAACCATAAAATAAGTGCACCCCAGTTAGCCAAAGATGTTGCTAATACTTCGCATAAATTTTTCAATGTAAAGACTATACCTAACGTTTTACATGAAGGAAGCTATGATGGAAGGGCAGCTAGAAAAAAACTTTAATTTCGAAAACAAACAGGAGAAAGAGATTAGAATTTGCAAAATCTCAAGTTAATTTATCAGATGAGTTTTGCAACACATTTATTTTCTCCCAAATAACTGTGTTCGAAATTTAAGATTTTCGGGAGTGATGGACGACAATATGTGTAGAAAAAGTCAAACACCGAACTGGAAAAACAGCACTTAACACTAACAGTGAAACATGGTGGAGGAAGCGTCGGGTTTTGGGACTGTAATGGCAGCAAACGGTAGTGGTAACCTGTGCTTCTCTGATGGTATTATGAAAGTAGGTACATACATTGACATATTGCGCCATAACTTGAAATTCAGTGCCCCAAATCTTATAGGAATATCATTCGCGTTTCAACAGGACAATGATCCTAAGCATACAGTGAACCTTTCCCGGGAGTGGTTACTCTATAAGGCCCTTCACCAGTTAAAGATACCGTCTAAATCGTCTGACATAACTCCAGTTATGTTACAAATTGAACCTAGAAGTCAAAAAACATAAAATTTCGTGTAAAGATGAACTTAAGCTTATAATCCTGGAAGAATGGCTCAAAATTTCCAATAGTTCAACCAAGACTTTGGTTTTTCTCTATGAAAAACAGATTACAAGCTGGTATAAATACAAAAGGTATGAATACGAAGTATTAAATTTTGTTCCCACATTTTTCTGTATGATTTTGCCAATACTTTTTTGACATGAAAATTTACATTTTAGCTTTATGTTTTGTATAAAAGGCATATTAAAATGAAAGTTTCATTAGATTTTGTGTGTTTATTATCTCCTGTATTCATTGTGTATGGCTAAAATTGTCAGGCATTTCCTTTGTTAGCTAATATGATCAAATATAGGTAATTGCCAGTACATTTTTTCTCACTGTAGTTCAAAGGCATCATTTATGTGAAAGTAAAAAGCGGCAATAATTGGTAGAATCTAGAGAGGTCAAACACAAATGGAGGTCGACAGATTTGAATAGCCCTCAAAATATCATATCAAGATTTTGGAACCGATTTTTAAGCACTGGATCAAGGTGACCAAGAGCAAAACAGCATCAAAGGGCAATATTTTATCGCTGTCGGCTCGAAAAAACCATGAAGCGACTATAAGAGATTTGGTTTTAGATTTCTGGGCTACCACAGGAACTCGAATTAGCCGCTCTACTGCTGCACGAATACTTAACGAAGTTCGTTTGTATGCGAAAATAATAGTGGTTTGTGTCACACTCGCTCCATCTTCCAGAGGGTCTTGTTTAAACTGGTCCCACTGTCATGTTCAACACAACCAAGACAAATAGGCCCGAGTATTGTATACTGAGGAGTCCAGACATAGTTTAAGCAGAGATTCTAGACGTGTTTTGATTTGCAGAGAGGAAGGAACGCGCAATTTGCTTTCCCTTGTCGTGAAATATCCCGTTTCCGAGACCGCTGTTTAATGATTTGGGAGGAATCGTGACAAATGGCCGCACCGAGCGGTTCTATAACCGCTTGAAGATATGTAGACGAGGTTTTGGAAGATTAAGTTAGCCTTCAGGACTAACTAAGGAAGGCGTTGTCCCAGAGGTTTTGCTAATGGATGACAATGCTCGGTCTCATCGAGCATATATGGTCTCAGAATACTTCAAACAGAAGATATGACTCGAATGGATTAGTCACCTTACTTGTAACCGATTGAGTATGCGTGGGATGCCTTAAGGGCTGAATTTCAATACGCTTAATTCCTCCTCGAACCTTCCATTAGCTGAAAAGTGCACTTTTACTAGAGCGGCGTGCAATTCCAACAAGATTTGACCGAAACTTTTGTAAAATCTATGAAATCCAGATGTGAGATATGGACAGCTTATCAGGTTCAATGTTTCTTCTAACCTTCTTCGGAAACATACAATGACCTGACTAGAACAGAGAGCTTACTAAAGCTATGTTCACTAATTGTAGTAAGTAGACAGGATACAGACGAAGGGTATACAAAACCCTTTATTTTTTTCTTTATGTACAATGACTTCCGTACTTCGGAATACAATGACCCTCCACTCGGGGTCTAACTTAAAAGATATCAAAATAAAACTAAACTCTAATTTAACTTTAGAATAAGATTGGCCTTATAATAACAGGAAGCGTATGTAGCACAGAGACTGTGAACACTACAATACGTTTAATTTATCAAGAGGATTAAAACCTCTGGCCTGGAAGGCAAAGTAGCAGCAACTGCGTAACTTCTAAGGTAAGCGGCCTGCTTCGAACTCACGGCTTCCTCTCTTCTGCTTGGCAAAAAGGCCACACTTAAATACTTGGCGTTCGCCAGACAACTTTGCATAAACTCCTTCACGCTTATAATTCTGGCCGGAAGTAGAAAATAAGAAGTGATAGTAAAGATTTAAAATAAAATAAACGTTAGTAAAACTTAAGATCCTTACATACTTCCCGCCAGAGTTAATTAGTTTGAAACTGAGGTCTAAAACGACCTTGTTGAAAACTTTTAGCTCTAGAAACTAACGCGAGGCCAACCTTTTACAATCATAACTTAGCTAGAAACTAGAAAATTTTAAAGAAAGAAGAAATTTGTTACAATAGCAGCTCCCGGAATATACAACAATCTTTTTTTCTTTTTCATCTGTACTGCATCTAAACAGGAGCTTTATTCAATTCTGGTTCCTTCCAGAGATCTGGAAGGAAAACTAGTTTAATGAAATGTTACAGAATGACATTG